AATAAAAAAAAAAACAAAATTAAAAGAAAAACGACAAAATTTGAAAAAAAAAATTCAAAATTTGAGAACAAAAAAAAAAAAAAAAAAACAGTTTGAGGAAAAAAACATCTGAATTCAAAGGAAAGTCAAAAATTTGAGATGAAAGTCAAAATTCTGATATTAGAGTCAGAACTCTGCAATTTAAAAAAAAAAAGAGTCAGAATTTGCAGAAAAAAAATCTAAATTTTGAGAAAGTCCAAATTTTGAGACCAAAAAACTCTAAAGCCAAAATTTTGAGAAAAATCAGAATTCTAAGAAAAAAGTTAGAATTCAGTGAAAAACTAATTTGAGAAAGTCAAAATTTTAAGAAAAATGTCTGAATTTTGAGAAAGTCAAAATTCTGAGGAAGAAAAGTCAGAAACTGAGATTAAAGTCAAAAAAAAAAAAAAATGTTCAGAGCCCCTTATAGTCTTCCGTACAAGAGTATCCCATTCCCACACAATAACATACGAACCAGTTCACACAGCAGCTTGAATTCTGAAAGTTTTTCTGCTACAACATAAAGTTTCTGCAAGGTTTTTTCCATGCATGTTTTATATCAGAACAGGTCAAACATAGATTTTCTCTTCTAAGACAGAAACTTTCATAAGAAAGAATAAAACACATCTGAGCTATTTGGAAGTTATTTTCATGTTGTCTGTTAGTCTAAAGGTTAACGAGACGTTTTCATGCACATTTCCATCTCTACATAAATATGAAATAAATCCATTTTCAATGAGTTTCTGCACCAAACTGAGTCTGTGTGCAATTTCAAATCAACATCCAGGCTGCATTTGCCAATTTATTGCCAAGTAACGCAAAAGAAAACAATTCCCCCCATGCTCCATAGGGGGCGCCATGTAAAGCAGGCGGCGTTACCATTGGATGAAGAATCCGGGAAGACTTTTGAGTCGTTGAGGTTGTAAACGAAGGTCATGGTGTCTGCCTGGTAGTTTTTGTCTTTCAGGGAGAAATTCACACTCCAGGAGTGTCCGTCCAGAAAGCTGAGCTTCAGAGCAGAGTTTATGTCGCTGCAATGGCTGCCTTTTGATGATGCATTGGCAGGAAGCTCAAATGAAACAGTTTTGTTCTGAAACAGAGCATAGAATCATTACAGAAATGTCAAACAATCTGATTCTTAGATCTAGAGTCAACTTAACATCAAAAATGCAATAAAAACTTCATTTTCAGTAAAGATGGTATAATTTTATTTAATGTAAAACAAAAAAAAATGGCTGCTTCCCCCCCTTTACCTGAACAAAACCCATCAGAATTTTAACTTTTGCAAAGCTCTCGACTTTAAATAATAATCTTGTGCTTTTGTTGGCTCATTTAGGCTCTTCTGTAAATAAATACGACAAAATGTTTCCTCAGACTGACCTAATTATTCCCTGTTGACCCAGTTTTCCTGCTGGTTGATAAACTTCCTTTGTACTTCCTTGTTCTTTGATCTCAACCGTCTCTGACTTCACATCTTTTATTGACAAATTTCATTTTCCTGCAGAAAGCTGAGCAGTGCTGTGGTATTTTAATAAAGTTTTTAAACAATGCAGCAGTGAAAGTTCATTAAAGACAGAAAAAAAAATGTGCCAATAAAGTGGAATCTAAAATCGAGACCATTGTTCACAGTAACAATTTTATTTTTACGTTATTCCACATAAATTTATAACCCTTTTTGATTCCTTACTACTGGAACCCTTTAAATAGTAACATTTTCATTTATATCTTTAGGAATCTGCCACTGGTAACAGAGCAATTAAATCAAAACTGTACCAAATATTTTAAAAAATTGTATTTAAGAGAAAAACATCTTTGTTGGCAAATGTATTTTTCCTAAAATAATTGACAATTTAGTAATCAATTGTGACTGGAAACTCAAACATAAGTCAATTTGATGAAAAAAAAAAACATATTCAGAGCTGTGTTTAAGTCAAACTGTACAAAAATATTTTTAAAAATTGCATTTAAGATAAAAGCATCAGTCTGTAAACATGTTTTCCACAAAACTTCAAGTTTTACCTTCAGCTGGTTCAAATATTTCACTATAGGAATGCTGCATTTTAGGCAATACATTTATTACTTTCTCATTATAAAAAAGGAACTGGATACTTTAAATATATATGTAAAAATCTGTAGAAAGTGGCAATTTTTAAATTTGATTAGTAATCATGAGTCGGAATGTACAGGGAATTTATTCTAAACTGATGTAAAGTTTTGTTTTTCCTTCACATCATCAAAGCAAAAATACAAATTCAGAAACAGATTTCTTCTCACACCACATGTTTAAAAGTATTTTTGCCCCAGGAGTGTAAAACAATTGTAATTTTGTCTTTAGAGAAGGAAAATAAAATACGGTTGAGACCCCAGAATGGCGCCGTTCATGCCACTGTGTGACCGGTAGCTTTAGGGAAGTCAGCAGCCGGATAAGCCAGGAAAATCCACGTGTTTGTTGTGAGAATGAAACTCATCAGGGAAAAGGAAAATCCTGTTTTCTTTCCACAACAGATTTTCTGCTGACATCCAAGAGCCACATTAATATTAAATCTATAACTGCTTTTATAAAAAACAAAGTTCCTATCGTTTTCCTGATAATTATTTGCACTTGTCTTCTTCCCAGTGTCTGAGCCAAATGACTGATGCATTACAGAAATCATTCCTCAAAAGAAAAAGGATTTTCAGTGATTAACGACATAATGCCAATAATATCGATGTTGGTCGTCTTGACATCAGAGAACTAAAGGAATGTGACTCAAACAGAGAATGAATATCAGCATTTTCAAATATCAGATATTGATATTATCCCAAACTTTCATGTCAATGCATCCTTAGATTCTGTGTAGAAAGAGTTGAGACTTTCAGCTGCTTCCATTTACTACCTCTATGTTTCACACAAACAGTGGGTTTTGGAATCTTAATGATTAATCAATTGCTAAATCAGATGAAAAGTATTGCAATAATCGATTAATCGTTTCAGCAATACAACCAAACATTATCTTTCTTACTTTTTCTGTTAACCATCTTCAGTTTTAGGCCCAAACACAAAGTAAAATTTGAGATTTAAATCGTTAAACATTTACGCCATCGGCTTATGCAATAAAAACATTTATTCTTTCTGTGTCTTTAATCCATTTAAAACCCCAGCAGTTCATCTTTTTCAAGGCGAGTCATGTAAAGAAAGCTTTACATTTAACACTTTAACTTTTGCCATTGAGATTTAAATTGTTCCTTAATAGATTGAATGAAGGATTTCTGACGTTTCGTTTGAAATCCAGAAGTGAAATGACTCAACAAAACAATGGAAGGATGTACATGAGGAAAACTGACTAAAGAAAATGTTGAACAGCAAGAATCTGCTGCTTGTCGTGACCTCAGTTGTTTCCCCTTTTCACGCTTCCTCAGTGATGTGACAACCATGTGATTCAGGCGCATGATAAGAGGAAAGCAGCAGCGCCTTCCCAAAGGGCTGTAAAACAGTAGACTGGTGTAGTCAAAGTACAGTGGCTCACCTTGTTATCAGCAATTTCATAGGTGACTGAGAAGCTGACGGTCAGATTGGCATAAAGACACAACTTGTCGTCATTCTTGACTTCAACCTCAATGCCATGAGACACTGAAAGGAAAACGATGTGTTATTTTGGTTAAAACAATAAAAATAAATTACATTAGCGGCACAAAGTTCTGTACATTACAGATTTATTCAAAAATATTTCAGTTTTCCTGCTGAAGTTTGTAACTTTTACAAAAATGTTTACAGATTTATTAAAGCTGTTGCAAGTTGTGACAGTAAAACATGACAGATAATCAACCGTCGTCTGACAAACATCAAGTAATTTCACAAAGTAGAATTGGGTGCAACTATTAAACAAGTTTTTTTAACAGCAGTAAAAAGGAGGGACTTTTATCTAGGCCGGCCCTGATAAATTCAGCTGGATGATAAATTATCCCAGAAGATATCGCGATAAACGATAACGTTGTTTTTGAACATATTGTCAAAGATCAATAAACTTTAAATTCTAATGAACATTTAACACTGGAACTGGAAGACATTATAAATGTACAAAAGAAACTAACTGATAGCAAAGCACCAGACTCAAGCTTTTATCATAGATTTTGGTAGGAAAAAAAAAAAGAAAAATGATAAAAAATCATGCAAATTATTGAGTTTGTTTTAATTTATCATGTCGAGGTTTCCCCAGAAAACATGCCGAGCTCGGTGGTTGAGTGCTGCAGTCATTCATGCAACGGTCTGCTGTGTTCGAGCTAAAAAATGGTTAAAGTTGGCAGGAAATTTGAAAATATCAGTTGATAACTATGCGTTATTGAAAGATCAACACCTGAACACCAACTATAAAGTCTTAATGCAAACATTTTACAAAGACCTAAATAAATAAGCCATGCTAAAATGATCAAAATAACAGAAAAGATTCTGTGCTTTCAGAGATCAAATTATGCAAAGAAAACAAGTTTATATTAATTTAGAAACAACAATACTGATGTTTTAACTCAGAAATCAGCATGTGGTGGAATAACCAGGAGGATTTCAATGGGGTTCAGTGCTGCGGGCTCTTCATTTATTCCAGAGCTGTATTACGCATTTAGTTTGTTTTTACATTTTTCATGACATTTTTTTTTACTTCTTTTAACATCACAGTTGTTTCAAAAACTTTGGACATGCCTGCTCCAGGTTTTATGCTTGAAATCAGATCTTTAATGTGATTTTCCTGCCGTTTGTGAAGCCTAGTTTCTGTTTGGTCACGCTTCCATAAATGAGTCACTGGAGAAATGCTCACTGAATGGCTGGATGATTCAGCCTCCACGAGCCAGCGGTCACCTCTTCCTCTATCATTACCCACTTTGTCACCAGATCTAAGGAGAAATCTTCAAAATCCTTCCGCTTCTGAATAATGAAGACCACAGCGCTTTCTGCTGCCTTTTATTTATTTTTACACATCATTCCACAGATTTGTGTTCTAGCAAACAGAGGTTTACAGACACTTTCTTTGACTTTATTGGTTAGTTTCTGCACCGTCAGCTGCTGCACTTCATGTAAATAAGTATTTTTCTTTCCAAATCACCTTCAATCAGTGGTGTTTGCAATGCAATCATCTTAGAGACGATCAGCGGATATCTGAAGCACTCAGTCAATTCTGAGCGTCAAAGCAGAGAATATAATGCAACTAAATTTACTTTAAATGTATGAAATTATCTTTGTACTCTGATTGTGGTTAGGAATGTCACAATAAATCAATTAATTGCATGATAAAGTAAAATTAGCTCAATAATTTTCATTTGCATGAGTTGGCGTTTTTTCTCACGCTTTCAAAAACTGTATGACAAAAGTTTTCAGTTTAGTGCTTTGGCCTCAACTAGCTTCTTTTGAAGGACAATTTAGTTTTCAGAGACTTTATAATTAATTTTATTTGATGTTTTATTTAATTTGGATATTTGAAATGTCTTCCAGTTCCAGTGTTAAATGTTCATTAGGATTAAAATATCCCCCCCCCCCATCATTATGCTTGAAAATGGCCTCAAAACAATAATATTATCATTTATCACAATAATTTCTGGGACAATTTATCATCCAGCAAAATTTGTTAGCGCAACGGGATGAATTATGGGTTATTTTCAAATTAATTTTAGACCAAGTCTAACATGGCAAAACGTGAAAAAGAGTTAATACGTTCCACCTTGAAGAATGATTTTAAAAAAACAAACCAAGTGCTAGATTTTATAGTCCCGCTTCTCCTTTTGTGGGTGAAAAGAGCTAAAACGGTGCAGCAGGCAACACAGACACTGTTGTCAGCAGATTAGCAAACAGCGCCAATCAAAGTTACAAAGTTGGTTTCAGAGTCGTGTAAAAAACCTACAAAATGACTCTTTGAACCAGTAAAAAGACAGTCATGAAACTTGAACTGGTTTAAAAACTGAATATGTGCAGCAGTTGCAGCAAAGTCCACTGATACTGCGCACTAAAAGCCTGCATGTAGGTTACCAGAAAGGACAAGGTTCATTTAGATAACCGATAAGGTTTCACCAACACGCTCTGTCATCAACTCAGCCGCTTCAAAGAATTTCCAGGTAGCAAAAACATAAAAATACACAAAAGCGTCAAACTTTCCCCTATGTTTATAGCCCGCTTTTTTTTTTTTTTTTTAAATGGAGAGAAAAAATGTTTACTGTGCGGGTCAGGTGGAGACGAAGTCAAAACAAAAAGTCATACGAGAGCAGATCTGGGACAATTACAAGCACTAAAGTTTATGACCAACATCACATATTTAGAGCAACAGATATGCATTTATAACATTATACGTTTCCTGCCTTCAACAACTTGGATGTTTGAATGGTTTCTGCATTAGCCATTAATCTCACCTCTGCAGCGTCAGTTTTACTGTTTTGGCTCTAAAAGTGTGAAACATGCGACTCTACAACTTCCTGACAAACAGCTGCAAGCTCTTTGATCAGCAATGCTATGCTCTCTAGATTAACTGTAAACCTTCAATCAGCAGCAATCTACTGAGAAATGAGCGCTGATGTCATCATCTGTACCTGGGACGCTCATATCCCTATTAAAAGAGATTACAACACCATAACTCCCTATTGCTGAATTTTACAAAGCAATCTTTAAGTAAAAGTAGGCTGACTGCTAGCTAGTGCTCTGGAAAACCAAGATTTTACAAAGTTACAGTTAAACTATAATATTGCTGTTTTGATATAGTAGTAATGTCAAAATAATCCAAGAACAACTTCTCAAGGATCAATAAAATTTAAACTAATGAACATTTAACACGAACTGGAAGACATTTTAAATATCCAATATAAATAAATAAAACACATAAAATCTCACTTAAGTATATGTAGACAAAATTGTCCCAAACTCAAAAAGATGACTTTAATTGTCCAGTTTTTGGTCCAAACAATAAATATCGCAAATGGAAATTTCTGAGCTTTTTTTCTTTAGACAAAGATCATTTATTAGTCTCCCATAGGATACATTTTTTTATTTATTACGTGAATAAATATTCCCCAAAGCAGGAATAATTTACATTTTTCCAGCTCTATTGAGAAAAGACCAACAAAGCACTGTACCTCCCCCACATGTTGCTGCACGCTTGTGGCTACCTGGCTAAAAGCGGAAATAATAATAAGAGCAAACTCCTATTGCTTGAAAACAGAAACTAAAGAAGCAGCAATATGTCATGCTACTTACTGCAGCTATTTTACTTTGCAAAATAGCTGCAGAAATCTCACAGCAGATAAGACTGAAACTAACTTGGGGGCAGAAGAATTACACCGCAATTAAATCTACTGACTCACAAAAGGGAAAAAGAAACTGCTGTCGGATTAACCAGAACATTTCAGCCTTTGAGCAAAAACATTTATTGTCTTGAGTAAGCAAGACAAAATCCAAGTAAAAAAAAAAAAAATAAAATAAAAAAAAACGATGGAAATGGATCAATTTTTAAAATAAACTTAGCAACATAACTTATGCAATTACTTCAATATATCTTTTAAAACTTGAAAATATATTTTCGCATCATTTTAAAGTTTTCTTTTTTAAAACAGACAAATTTTCAGAAAAATAAGGGTCAACTTCGCAACAGAAATCTTTAGCTTAACGGTGCTAACTTGCTGCCAAAAGATGCTAACATTAACTCAGCTAGCTCGGTGAAGGTATTACGTTGCAAAATTTATCAGGCAAATATTTTTAAAATATGTTCTGCTTCCTTAACTTCTAAATAGATACGACAAGAAGGTTCAAGAATCTACCTGTAACTGGAGCTTAAGCTGCCAGAACAAGGTTACCTAATCGGTAAGCCAGCTAGCAGCTAAGCTAGCTGAGGTCTGTTGCTGCAAACATTAACTCCTGTATTAAAATCGTTTATTTATTTGAGGGCTTTAAGTTAATAAAAGCCTGGCTGAAGTATTCACGGCGGCATTAAGATATAAATATATTTTAAAGCTACATGTTTTTGAGGATTTTTACATTGACGTAGGTAACAATTAGCTCTGATGCTACCGCTGCAAAACAAAACGACTGCGGTCAAATGAACCATTTTCAATGTCTTACTCGTTTTTTACTGCTGTTTTCACATGAGTATAATATAAAACAAAATCAAAAACACCTAATATAATTATCCAAATTTAACCGATGAAGGCCTGGATTAGACCATAAGTTTAATCGCGTCACTTCTAAGAAACAGATCCCAACTTTTATTCTATTTTTTAAAAAAACATTTCAGTAACAAATGAATCTGTGGTGATACATACCAACTCCGAAATACAAGAAGAAAACAAATGCAGCGTATCGAGACATCATCGCTGAGGGTTTTGGATGTTCAGTCACTGAAGAGGAAAACTTAAAAACAGAGAAAAGTGAGGAGACGCTCCGTCGTTCAGGCTGTGCCAGGAAATACAAGTCATATGACTGTGTGTCAAACCTGAGTGAGGTACAGACAGGAAGTCCGGCTTTATTTTATACCGTAAATCATTAAAAAAAATCCTCTCCGAGCCTCTAAATGTCCAGGCAAATGATTTAAAGACCTGTTTACCCACCCCTTCCTATGTAGAAAATGTAACAGAATGAGCTAAAAGTGCTTAAAAAAGAAGAAGGTATTTTTGAAAAAAGAAATGCTTTATTTTTGGACCGTTAGAACAAAACTTTGAACTTTCCTTTGTTAAAATAATTTTAACAAGGATAGCTTATATATATATATATATATATATATATATATATATATATATATATATATATATATATATATATATAGCTTATATATATATATACATATATATATATATATATATATATATATATATATATATATATATATATATATATATATATATATATAAGCTATCCTTGTATATAATTATTTTTTATTTACACATTTGTTAAAACTGTCTCCATTTCAAGCTACAGAAACATGTAGCTTCAAAATATATTTATATCTTAATGCCGCCGTGAATACTTCAGCCAGGCTTTTATTAATTTAAAGCCACCAAATAAACGATTTTAATACAGGAATTAATGTTTGCAGCAACAGACGTCAGCTAGCTTAGCTGCTAGCTGGCTTACCGATTAGATAACCTTGTTGTGGCAGCTTAAGCTCCAGTTACAGGTAGATTCTTTAATCTTCTTGTTATGAGACAGATGATCTGTGAAAAGATCTTTGTCCATCTAATCCCTGAGCTGCTACACTGCTCTGACCAAAAACAACCAATCAGAGTCAGGAGAAGGGTTTTAGCGCTGTCAGTCAATCTCATGTACTGGCTGCTAATGGCTGAGAAACAATTTAGCATGGCCGTCATCGATTGAAATTTCTATGAAAAATTAAAAAACTCAAATTGTTTCAATGCTTAGTCTTAAATATAGTATTTCAACTGTCTGCTAAACTCAAACGTTCCATTATCTGTTAAAATTTATGTTTTTACTTTGAAACCGATACCAAAACTTTCTTCTGGTTTTGCCAAAATGCAGCAATCATTTGTAAATTCTTCCTTTATTGTATTAGTTTCATAAATGAAAGCTTGTTATCCCCGATTATGTTTTTAAGTGTTTTCACTAACACAGGAGCAGCAAGCCTGAAACATTACACAAACCCTAAAATCCAACAGATTATCACAATTATAAAAATCCGACAGAAACAATTATTTATTGTGTGAAGCACTAAATCTAAAAAAAAAAACTGATACAAATGAGAATATGTCTAATCAAATCAGTTTTCTTTGTGTTTCACGGTAGTACCTAAACCTTTCCATACACTGCAAAAGCACAAAATCTTACCACGTATTATTGATCCAGTTTCTAGTGCAAATATCTTAATACACTTGAAATAAGAGAAAACTAACAAGTAACTTCTCAGCAAGATGTAAGAGTTTTAACGCTGTTGCCTAGCAACGCCAGCCAAGCCCAACCCGTTGCCTAGCAACCCAGTTCTAGTTCCACTGGCAGATTATTTCACTAAAAATATGGGAAAAATGTAATAAGTGAAATAATCATACAATGGAACTAGTACTTTTAAGGAATCACTGACTTAAAATAAGCTCATATTTCTTGTAAGTTAATTTTGTCTTATTTTAAGTGTGCTGAAATATTTTCACCAGACTCTAGACCATAACTACTTGGTAAGATTGTGTGTTTTTGCAGTGTAAATGTCTCCAAAGCCCCACATGGAAACTTGCAAATAAGAGAAATGAGTGTTTTCTGTGTAGCATGACAACGGATGTTTTTTTTGTGCTTTTAATAAACCTAAAGGTTAACAAAAAAAACAAAAAAACTATCAAGCAGTAAACTGACAAATGATTCACTTAAAATATCACATGTGGTGCATGTATAAAAATGTTTGAAGGAAATAAAAAGGCAACCAAGAATATTGTATGCATATACTTGAACAATTGGGTTAGCAGCGTAAACACCTTTTAAACAGAAATAAATGCTCCTTTTTGGCACAAACTCCGCTTTTAAACAATGGGTGCTCATTTGCTCACTGCTTTTATCACCTGGCTGCTAAAACCACCAAACGTAACTTCAGACCCCACAATACGCAACATACTTCCAAAACATCTTTGAATGCTAAGCCCAACAGTCCAACATTTCACCACGAGTGAAGAAACAAGCATCAGTTTAATATTTTGGATTGTTTTTCTTTCCAACATGTGATACATTTAGAGCACTGATAGGCGTGTCAGCATTAGCTTGGGAGGATGGATGAATAAAAAGGAAAAAAATGATTTCATAACAAAGAGCATATTGTTTTAATCTATGGACAAAGGATCTAGGTCAGAAAATAAATATTTTTCCTCTCCATTAAAAAAGAGCAAACAGAACTGCGTGTCTTCTTTGTCCCAACTCTCTCAGAGGCACTGAGAAAATATGGAGGATATTCTCTTTTTTTTTTCCTTTTGTTTTTTTAAACGGGCATGCAGTCCACAGGGTCACATGACCCCTGACGGAAACCCTGCGGAGCGGTGGCCATTCACTTGTCGGTCGTTGGGTTGAAGATGATAATGGTTTAACATCCACGGGAGCAAAAGATTGAAAGACCGATCACTCAGGACACCTGTTGCTCTAAACTGGAACGGCTGCTTCTCTCTTCCTTTAACTAGGCCACATAGTTGTACTGGTTGGAGTTTTCCTTGTCGCGCTCCATATAGTCCCGGTCAATAAGAGACTCTATCCTCTTCTTTAGGTCAGCAGGCTGGGAGAGAAGAGAACAAGAGAGAAGACGGTAACAAACAACCAGAGGTCACCAGTAACTGGTTACATTTACTTCAGTAACGTCTTTGAAAAAATTTACTTTAAGAGTATTTTACTGCACTGTACTCTTTACTTTTACTTGAGTACTTTCATTTTGAAGTATTTCTACTCTTACTTGAGTAAAATTTCTGTATTTTCTATGCTAACGATAACCAAACATGGGAAATGAGGTCATTTCCTTTTTGAAAGTGGAGAAAATTAGAAATACAAAAACTGGAAACTTGAACAAATTGTACTCTAAATGGGAACCCCACCCGTGCACCCAGCTTTCTTTGTGTGTAAGTGTACATATGCATGTGTACACGTGTGTGTGTTTTTTCACTATTAATTTTCTCTGTGTTTCACTATTGGAGTTGTTCTGCATGCATTCTTTGCTCCTGAAAACATGCATCTTAAAGTCAATGGTGTAAACAGTTTGTTTATGCTCAACACTTCTGCACCGTGAAATATGTAAACACTTTGCTTCCATACGCAAAAGTATCAATAAAAATATGAATAAAAAGAAAAAACAAATGAAAGTGATGTGAGATGAAAAACAAACTAGTTACCTTGACAGGAAATTTGAGCTGGTTGTAAACCTCAGACATCAACAGATTATGGCTCAGAGTCTTCCTCATCTTCATTATCCGCACAATGGCCGCATCGATCTGGTACTGACGGTCCTGAAAAACCCGTTCTGTGGTGCTGGCTTGTTCCTCCACCTAAACACATTTGTTCATCTGAAAACCTTTGACTTGATACACATACACAATCTACATCCAGAAGCTGTTTATACCGTCTCCTTCATCTGAATCTGGTTTATTTTGATCCTGAAGAGTTTGTGTTTGAAGTCATCGTTGCAGGAAAACTTGTCTCCGTCCTCCACGTCTTTGCTTTTCGGGATTTTGGTGAGGACTCGTGCTTTTCCGCAGGCTAGCGACTGCAACGTCCGACGCAGCTCGCTGTCCTCTGTGAGCCCAGAAACCAGACGCTTTTCAGACAAGATGTCCGACATAAAGACAGGAAGCGAACCGAACGGCGACACGACAACAAACCTATTCCTGTAGCTACTTTGATTTCTTCGAGAGTGAACTCCTCGCCTTCGTTGAACATCAGCAGCACCAGCGTTTGGAAAAGAGACACCTGCAGCTCCTTCTTGCCCTTCAGCAGAAAAACATCCAGACAGCAGAGTTAATATATACGATGAGGGCAAAAATAAAACAACAAGAATACAGCCATAAAATTATGAGTATTATGCGAATAAACTTGCACAAGAATAAAGTTATAGTAATACAAGAACAAATTAGTATGAGAAAGTCATAATATTATGAGAATAAAGTAATAATGTTGTGAAAATAAAGTTAAAATAATACAAGAATAAAGTCATAATACAACAAAAATAAGGTTATAAAATTTCGAGCATTTTTACGTGTACGTAAATTTACTAGTTTATAATAAAGAGAATTAAGTTAAGTAAGTAATATTACGAGAATAAAGTCATAAAATTACAAAAGTAAAGTCATAAAATTAAGTGAATAATGCTGAAATAAGACAAGAATAAAGCCATAATAGGAAAATAAAGTTATAAGATTTGAGAATAAAGTGAGAATTAAGTGAGTGTAAGTAATTAAAGTGTTTTTACAATAATGAAAATAAAATAAAGTAATATCACGAGAATAAGAATAAAATCAAATTACGACTTTATTCTCTTGATTTCATTTACCAAATTTTCTCAGCGCAGCATTAAGACTGCATCACAAATATAACCTTTCCTGAGAGTCAAAATAAAAAACGACATTCTAGGAAAAAACAGAGCTAATAACCTCTTTAAATTCTGCTTTTAAGACGCAGTGACCTAACGTCGACTGCCACTGCAGCTTCCTGCCGCTGTGTTTGCCCAGGTAAAACGTCTTGAAGATCTCCTGCAGGCGCACCATCTGGACAGACATAACAGAGGTCGTAACAAAGGGTATTTATAGCTTCGGCGCTATAAAAACCCCCATCATGTTCCGGTCACGTGAACATTTACGCGGCGCTAACCTCAGGGGGCAGGTGGACCTCCATGGGGACGTAGGTGGGCCAGTAGCCCATGGTGAGGATGTTGACGGTCAGCTCAA